CCTAGACTATTGCACCTGGTGTATGTGTTCTGTAGGTCCAGGAGAAAATCTGGAACCTTGGCAAAATGTAGGACCCGAGTATTATGTAGAGGTAGCAGAAGATACAGTTTATGACTTGGGGCAGTCTGTAAAAATGAAACCTTTTCACTACATGAGCCGTTGATCCAGATTCCAGATAGGAGACTGCGTAAAATTACACGGAGCTAATTTACAATGTTACCGAATTTGTAGCGTATAGAAAATCAAGTACACAAGTTGTGGACTTAGGAGTAAGATACTACCCAAAAAAACAAATATGTTTGATATTGTTGGTAAGAACCATCACAAGCTGCATGGCCCAGGCTGCCGAACACGCATTTGAAGATTCATTAATGAACAACATACTTTATAGAGTTGCAGTCAGGCGTGTAATTATAGTGCTCTCGTAATTTCTCCTCGTGTATCTCTCATTATAATATGATTCCATCACAGGAGCACTATCATTACACGCTTGACTGCAACTTTAGAGTATTTTCATTAATGAAGCTTCAAACAGGTGCTGGGAAGCCCAGGATGTAAGCCTCGGGGTTCATATTTTCAAGAAAAAAGCAGTTTCCTTTTTTAGGGTTACATGTTCCTTCGAATCAAAATTAAAATTGGAGAAATGTATACATTAATTATCGATAATTTTACATATATAATCAAGATGTTACCAAGGTCAACGCCAATGATGATCAGCCTCACCTCGCCAACGCTTTCCGCTCTCTGCCACGACCACTAAGGTCTGACCTGATAGTCTCCCACCGTCCGCTCTTAGAAAATAAGTTGCTAGGATATGCAAGTAAATGAGTTTGATGTCAACAGTCTACCTCCCCCCCCGCTCCCTTCTGCCTGTTTATGTGAATGATAGCCAAATGTGATACAATGCAATACGGATGTATGAAGCACCTTAATACGGTTACATCTGAAGACAAGTGAAGGAAAGGCAAATGTCTGAAAAGTTTTTAAGAAGAGGGAACTTTGTAAGTGTTTTTGTGTGTGCAGGAAATGAAGCGAAGAGTGCTGTGGACCAGAGAGAGCATTGAGAGTGCATTGTAGCCATGTGACTAAACACTTCGTACACAGACAGTGAGGGTTTAGCATGGGGCTTAAACAGGTGTTTGTACATGATTAATTAGATACGCATTATATTTCATTAAACCAAACTAAGATAGGCTTAAATTTCGATTTAAAGCTTTCGTGACTGCAGGAATTCATCTTCTTGGTTCTTTCGGTAAAGTCACGTAGAAGGGGAAATAATAAAATAATAAAAATAAAACATAATAAAATAATTCTCACGACGTTTCGGCCACAACGCAAGCAGCCGTCCTCAGGTGAAGAATAGGTCTGTCGGAAAGACAGACCTGTTCTTCACCTGAGGACAGCCGTCTACGTGACTTTACCGAAAGAACCAAGAAGATAAGATAGGCTTGGTGAGACAAAATGAATACATCAAATATACATGAAATATTGACTAACTGTGAGTTAGAGAGCTGAAGTTCCTGTGTTTCGGTGAACCGACTGTTAAAAAATCACGTTACCTCGCAGTATTAGATGTGGAACGCAAGGGCATATTGTGCTCGGTTAAATAAAGTGGCAGTATTCGTGCAATATTTACCTGGAATCTGATATTCATGTCATAGTTACAGTATGAGTGTTCGGATTAAACCGTGATTGTCATGTATGAAGTTCAACCAACTACAACCTTCATGGTAACTGTAAATCTTCACTTGTTATAATCGTATTGGTGGTAACTGGAGGTGATGAGTGACCAGCAGCTGTATTGCTGTGTCAGCGTTCAAGCAGTGAACTGCAGTAGTTCGGTATTTGATCGCGTAATTGTGCGTATAACAATTAATGAATTGTCAAGATTAAACGGCACGTTTTGATTCCCGAATTGATTTTGTGTTTTTATTTGATATTTACCGTATTCGCTTGCATTCTTTGGTATGTCGTATCTCACGTACTGCCTTGTTTGATCAATTAGCCTAATGGCAACATGCAATTTCAATATATTGTAAAGAATCGATTATTACACGCATGATTATATGCACACATGAGCATAAGAATCAATTTCAGAGCAGACGAGCTGTAGCCACAGATCAGGCTACCCGTGTTTTAAACAGCCTGGTTTGACATTGGGATCGTGTACCAGATAACATGAGAATCATTGGTAACATTTTAATACCGAATATCATCACCCAGGAATGTGTGCACTTAACGCTCGTGACGTCACTCCACATCGACCAGCCTCCCCCTAATTAATATTCATGAGCAGGTGACATCCTCCAAATGGACACCCCCCCACCCCTCCTCATTAATAATCATTAGCAAGTGACGTCACTCCACATCGAACAGCCCCCCTCATTAATATTCATAAGCAGGTGACGTCCTCCAAATGGACACCCCCCCATCCCTCAATAATCATGAACAGGTGACGTCACTCCACATGGAGCACCCTCCCCCCTCATTAATAATCATGAGTCGGTGACGTCACTCCACTTCGAACAGCCCCCCTCATTAATAATCATGATAAGGTGACGTTCTCTAAATGGACACCCCCCCCCATTCATAATAATTAGTGGCATGACGTCACTCCACATGGGGGGCCGAGGCGCCTCCGCCCCCCTCCTCAGGGTCAACTTAGAACCCTCACTACAAAGGCAGAACCCTCACGTCACGTGATCTCCGTAAGGCTGTTGAGACATCAAAGTAAATTTAAAAAATTAACCCGTAAAAACAAAGTTTTTCACTATAAATCCTTTATATGCGTGGCACCGGTTTTATTTTATTATTCATTTCTGTTTTTCTTGAGTAAGAGTTTCATTTTTATCACATTGGTATTTTAAATTAAATATGAAAAAAAAATTTCCTAAAAAGTGGAAAATTTTTGAACAAAAATTTTCACGAAAATAAATTGTCACGCACGAGTCTGTGTGCAAAATGTCAGCTCGATTGGATCACGGGAAGTGGGTTAAAAAACGACCGAAAGATTTGCACGGTCGTAAGCGCGCAAGTAAGCAAGCAAGTGAACTTCATATAAAGGATTTAAAAAGACGTCTTGATGAACAAGGGATTATCACCTTAAAATGAAATAAGTCCGTGTCACCGCGCCCTTACAAATTGCACACAAATTGATGCAAGGAATATCACGTCGCGGTCTGCTTTTCGCTGAGAAGTTTCAAATTTACTGCAATACACCCGTCATTGGACGGGCAAAATGCTAGTTTAAAAAATATCTATTTTTGTAATTTTGCATTAAGTGTATGTATTTTATGTTACAGTAATAAGTCAAGAAACATGTGAATATAATAATTGGTGTGTATCAAGGAAAGCCACATTAAATCAAAGGTGACGTTTTCAGGAGGATCCTGCATTTGGGTTTTTACTTCAAGATGTTTTCAGACAATTCTTGATGAGTGTTTTTACAACATTCAATTACTGATGAGTGTTTTATGCAATGTAAAGAAACCGGAGCAAACCTACGCACCAGTACAGATGTAAATATGGCAATTAGCCCACTTGCTGTACTGCCTTCTGCCGAACAAGAGTACGGCATAATAATAGGGGTTTCTCCCTTTTTTCTGGCAACAAAACTGAAACCTTTTAACAAGGAATCATGTGTGCATTAACCACAACACTTGTGGTCAAAATAAAATAAAAACACACTGATAACATATACTTTTGGCGTCCTCTGGTCTAGCACCAATTGAGACGAGGCTCAAAAGAAAGCTGTCTCTGGTGTAGACCAATCAGTTTCAAGGACAATGCATATATTATCAGAGTGTTATTATTATATGTTTGTACAGGCAAAGGAGGTCTAATGATGAAGAGTATGGCACCTCGACACCTATGGGAAGGGAGCTGCACAACATTGGTGTGATCCTAGATTTGAAGCTTTCGTGACTGCAAGGATTCATATTCTTAGGTTTTTTCGGTAAAGTAAAGTCACTTTTATTAAGTTTAAATTTTTTTTACCTACGTGACTTTACCGAAAAAACCTAAGAATATTGGTGTGATCCACCAGTTCTCGTCTCCACTGCTAGATTATAGCATTGCGGTGTGCGCCACCACCGCACGGCTAAGTCTGTGCTCTCGGTTGCACAATCCTGGCTAGCTGGCTCAAAAACGCAACATATGTGGAGTTTTGCTTGTCTTTAAATCAATTATTGTACTCCTACACAAGCTTATTGATAAGGGCACAATCATGATTTGATAAGGACACAATTTTAGCGTGTGTACTACAGCAATTTCTTTAAATAATTTCAAATTCATAAGCTGTTGGAAGAAAAGGAGAGCACAAGTGGGTAAATAACAGCTTCCTGGAGGGAGCATATCTTAAAAACCTACAGCAAAATTACTACCAACTCCCTCGCTGCAATTGGGAACACAAAGGCACACCGCTCTTTGCCCTTACACTGAATTTAGCAGTGAGAGAGTTCCTCAAGAATCCAAGTCTTGCAAGTGTGTCCGCACACCATGTCTTTGTAATATTTTTCCACGTGGATTCTATGAAAATTATGCTATTGATTATTATACGGTATTTGGACGCACAAAGGCCTTGATGTGTGTGTTTTCTTTGCGTGGGCTGGGTAAATATGTGCTCTTCGTATCGGATTGTAACAACAAAGGCTTTTCGTTCCCATTGTTGATCGTGAAAAGAGGTTGTTGCACTTTTACAGAGATACGACGCTGCGTTTGAGTAAAGAGCCCGAAAGTATGAAGCGTGTATTCAGTCTGTGGTCTCCTTGGTTAACCCATCAAATTCTAAGTGGCCGATGTGTGTCCTTCCACTATGCCCGTCCAGACATTTCCAACATTCCCTCGAGGTTTCCTAACTTAGGTTCAACCGAGATTCGAGCACCAACTAATGCTCCACGAACTTATGAACTTATCCCCCCCCCCCCTGGACCCTACTTTCTGGTCGCTTCTGGAACACCGTCATACGCCTGCCTACCCGTCCATGCACCCACCCTATCGAGGCCATATAAGACGTTAGCCACTAACCACTGGTGTGACCCCCCCCCCCCCATTCACATCTACTTTTAGCAAACGGCGGAGTGAGCCAAGCGCACAAGACCCACGGACACCAGCGGCAATGTCGAACCCGGAGGGCAGCAGGTAACAAACCGCGCGTTGTGCGCGCCTCTGTGCTCTGCTTGTACCCGTTACATACTATACACACCCACAGCCCTGTTGGTGAGTCCACTGCTGGATGATGCTATCCTCACGTCGTGCGGTTCGTGGGTTGTTGTGGACCATACTGCTCGGGATGGGGGAAGGCAAGGGAGGCATAGCATTTACACATATTTTACTTTTATTAATTTAAAATTTTTACCTACGTGACTTTACCGAAAAAACCTAAGAATAGGAGGCATATCCGTTGGGAGAATATGGCACTACAACCATGGGTTTTGCTGTATGGCCCTTTCCTAACAAGATACAGGAGCCTACACGTGTTGTATACGTGCTGGTGGCAACCAAACCCCATCCAGGCCCAAACCGGATTGATCAAACGTGCCCCATTTGAGCGATTCAAGAGGTTGCTGGGTAGACCTGTGGGCAGGACTGAGTGCATCTGCACAAGATACATTTTTGTGAGGTTGCTTAATCTTGTAATCCTGTGTTTCTGAAATGCATACACGCTCTATACTGGGAAGTTCCGCTCCAGTGGGAGAATACAATTTTCAGAAAGAAATACGACGTCATAACAAGAACGCTTGATTAGAGCACGTGGAATGTGCCCGATCTCGTCAAATCTTGGAACCCAAGCAGGCATTTGTGCCTGGATAGTGTTTGTCTTAATGCGTGACTACCATGGATACACGTTATTTTTTTTTACTCCGTGGTGGCCAGCAACATCCATTGTTGTACCGTACTTCTATGTACCCACGTCTATGTTCCCCGCCGTTGCTAACTGCCACATCCAGCAATGGATTGAGAAATGGCATTCCACGAACATTACTCGTGCAACAGCAGATTATACGAAAGGGTGTCAACGATATTAAGAATGACTGACTTATCCATGATTTAACTAGTTATTAGATTGAATTTGTTTCTGGATATTTCTTAGACTTTTCATCATTTCATCATGATTTATAATTTCGGACTGATATTTAAGAGTATACTTAACCAGCCTTAGACTTCTGGCAAATTCCATTGTACCAACCATGTGCTCCGATGCTAAATTTAGATGGTGGTGGTGATGGTATGCACCATCTGTGACTTACAAGCTGTTTATGGTGGGTGGGTGTTGGGGTGTGAGAGACATGTGGGGAGTGTCAAGGCAAGTGGGTCATGCAGAGAGAAGTTAGAGGCCCTATGGAAATCATTTTATTGCACCTGCTGTTCAACTATGGTTGAATCCTTTATTACAGCCCTTTGTCAATCTAATGCTGGCTGGGGGACTCCCCACCCCCGTGCGGATCGTTCGTGGGGGCTATTTGACCATACTTCACCACCTGGGCCAGTGTGGTTTCATAAAAGCAGGCAGCATTGACGTGAAAGTGTAGAAATACAGAATAATGTAATTGCTGCGCTGCCCTTTAAAGGACACAACTATTTTTATTTTGCCAGTTAAGGCCCACTGAGCTATATAGGTATTTTTGATGCCCATCACATAGCCTGGCAAGCCCCATGACAACTTACTTGTGTGTAGTTGTTGCCCATCCACGCACTAACCAGGTTCAACCCTGTGCAGCTACTGAAATTTGACGAGATCAGACACAGATCATTTTAGTAGTAATTCAATTACCGTATCTTTAGTTGATTTATCCAATGTCAATAAACAGTGCCCCGTTTATAAGGGGTTGAATTGAAGTATTTTGTGGTCTATTTTTTTTTACTTGTGAATGAGGGTGCAATGTTTTGCACTGCTTGCGTGCATTTATCTGTGCTGCTCCTGCATGCCTACGGGGAATGTGATAAGCAACAAGTCAGGGTGCTGCAGTGCACGCCTGCATTCTTACCGCGTGCATCCGTCAAAGCATTTCCTCGATATGTAAGCATGTACTTGGTGAGTGAGCGCACTGTGCTGTCAACTTGGCAACCTGAGTTCAACACCTGTTCCATGGCTAACATCAGTGACGAGTGATCTCTGAACTGGTTCCTGCAACCCACCACCAAGCCCCATTGATCAGCGTGGTGAAGGTTGGGTCAAACAGCCCCCGTGATTTACAGAGCTTGGGGAGGCCTTCATCCAGTATTGTACTGACAAAGGACTGTACGTTATTACGAATTTTCTTCATATATATTCAAGACGTGTGCTTGCTTGGTTAAATGAACCATGATTTCAACAGTTTGCATACATGTTCTATTTCACCTGTGTATTTACCTCTACTCTTGTCTGTTAATCTGTGAGTCAAGATTACCTGCATACCAAACCTGTGTGTTTGCCGGTTCACCTGCATATTTGGTTCACTTATGGGCTTACCTGTGCATTCCCTGGCACGGCTACCTGCTGATTATATGTACACCTGCATACGAGTATGGCATTCAGTGAAGACTTTCAGATGATACTTGGGCTTGTGCGTAAAACAAATGGAGATGGTGATGGCTTGATGAGTATGGATGAAGATGATGATGGCTCTGTGAGAATGGATAATGATGATAATGGCCTAGTGTAAGTATGGATAATGATGTTAATGATGGAATGGTGAGTGTGGCTGTTGATGGCTCTGTGAAGATGATTATTACGTTTCTTTGAGTGTGAATGATGTTTTTGATAGCTCTCTACATGTATATGAGTATTATGAAAATGATCCACGTGATTATCCGAACCCCCAATTAGCACGGTTGACTATGTACGGTGCCACATAGGTTCAACATAGTTCATGCATATGTAGGGCTGTTACAGAGGGTCTGTTTGTGTAGGGCTGTTTACATAGGGGCTAACGGAAAACAGACACAGTGGGCGGGGTCTCCGTGAGCACACGGGGTGGTGCCCGCAACGACGTCCGTACTGGACGGCGTGAGGGGGGTTTCGATCCTCTAACGGGGTATAAAAAGGGTTGAGCCAGAGAGCTCGGGGCTCAGTCTTAGAGTAGTTAAGAGAAGAGAGAAGACCAGCCAGATAGGCCCTGGACTCCCCCTGGGACGCCGCCCTTGTAAGGGCAGTGCAGGCTGGAGCCAGTGGCGTGGTCCCGGAACCAGAGTCAGACCTCTGGGATTCCGGGTACCGTAGCCCGACTAACCAGTGTCGGGCCAGACAGCCTCCCCTAGCCCGTTAGCGGAGGACTCAGCTAGGAAGGCTAGCTAGGGGTGAATTCCCAGTTGTACGGGTGAGGGGGCCGATACATCCCTCTAGAACTGTAAGCCCTTTGTGTAAATAAATACGTGTGCCTTACCCCGTTGTCCACGCGTCTTCAACAACACTTCATCTGGCGTCAGAAGAACCAAGAACATGGACACGCGCCAAACAGCTCGAGCCAGGGAACAGCGGGCGGAGGACGCCGCCGAAATTGCCGAGCCCGAGATGGCTCTACTAGACGACGTGCAGCCGGGGCCGGATGCGGGCTTACCGGAGCATCGCCATGAAGAGGAGCAGCGGGGAGACGACCTGAGGCTGGCTCACGAGAGGCTGGCGGAACTGCTCTACGCCGCTGCCGCTACGCTGGAGAACATCACACGGCTGGGGGCTGGTGGTCCACCGCGGGGCGAGAGGAACCGGCGTGTGGAGCGCCTTCCCGCCATTTCTGAAGATTTAAATTTTGAAATTCCCGCCATCGACGCAGCGACCGCTAGGGGCGTGGCCAACCTCAACCTGGGGTCCGACATCGGCCGCGCTGGGGCTGCTGCATCAACGACGGAGGAGGGCGCGTCATCAAAGCTGCGACAGGCGATGCCATCTGCCATTCGCGCCGAGACGCAGCCGAGTCGGGGAGGCAGCAGTCCACGGGACTCCACGGCAGCCGCTGCGCTACACCAAAGGCTACCCCCGCTTAAAGAATTCGTGGGCGCAGAGGGCGACTGGAGCGGCTTTCGAAGACGCTTCCTCGCCCACCAGGAGATGGCTAAATGGACGGACGAAGAAGCTCTCAGCGCCCTGCCGGCGCTCCTGGACGGCGACGCGCTTGCCGCCCTAACATCGGCACCAAAGGAAAGGCGCTCCACGTTACCGATGGCGCTGCAGCTGCTGGGAGGAGTCTACGGACCGTCGGCGGAATGCAGACAGGAGTTCTACGACCGCAAGCGGGGAGAGAAGGAGTCGCCCCTAGCGTACCGAACGAGCCTCCTGGCGATGGCCAAGTCGGCCTTCCCCCGGATGGATGACGACGGCATCGACGCTATGGTAACGGAGAAGATACTCCTCCTGGCCGACGATCTAGACATCGCTGTCGTCGCACAGGAGGACGCGGAAATGACATCGCTCCAGGCGGCGCGGCTCCTCCACGCAAACCTCCTGTCGCTTCGACGCAAAGCCAGCAGGGCATCGGCGGGGCGTGCGGTGGCTGCAGCCACCCTTCCGACGGAGGAACTCTACGCCGTCGACCACCGACGGCAACAGGCGACGAGTGCACGGCCGGGCCAGGACGGGTCAGGCCGTTCCGACCACTCGTCACCTCCGACGTCGCTCCCGCGGTGTTATAACTGCGGCGTCCGGGGCCACGTCGCCTCGGGGTGCCGCTCTCCTCGTCAGCGCGGGACGACACCTCACCGGGACGACGAGCCTCATCCCAAGCTCCACCGTCAAAAACCGGCGAGTCGCGGCACCCCACACGTTTGGCCCACACACACACCCGTCACGCACTCAAACACCGCGACGAGAGGGGGGCCGGTATCACGCACCATCGCACCATCACGCACCACTCCGGGTACCCATATCGAACCCGGCCAGTGGTCCGTGCTGGCCGATCGTGTGGTTGCCGCATCGTCGGGGTCGTCGGCCGTTGTAGGATATATCGACGGGGTGGAAGTGCGCATCCTGGTCGATACGGGGGCATCGGCGACTATTATTTCGGAATTAATTTACAATATTCTCCCTGTCCAGAGCCGTCCTTTGATGCCTGTTAACGTACCATTCTATGCGGCTAACGGGGGCTCACTTGGCATCATCGGACAAATTCGTGCCCAAATTTGTATTGGGGAAATTAAATTGTCTGGGCCGATTTTTGTTTCGTCCTCGCTGGCGGTTCCGTGCCTGCTGGGGACGGACTTCCTGGCCAAAATGCCGATTGTAATTTTGATCGACCAGGGGTGCATAGAGCTTCCATCGGGCAGACGCATGGCGTTCCTGCCATCACCAGTTGCGACTCGGACGGCGTTCGCGACGGTGCCGGCGTTCGTGGAGAGAACGGTACGCGTTCCTCCGGGAACGCAAATGTTGGTGCCCTTGAAGCTTCGGCGGCCCCTCGTTAAGGGTGCCGGGGCACAAGGAGTACTGTTGGGACCGTCTAGGGCCGGGGTTAGTGGACCTGATTTACTACCGGCCCAGACCATAGTGAGAGGGGATAGTGAACCCTTCATCGCGGTCCTAAACGTGGGCTCGCGGACGGTGGTGCTCCCACAGGGGACCGTGCTTGCTCACGCAACGCCGGTGCCGTGTGAGGAGCCCGCCGTCAATTCCGTCAACACTGTCCCTGCGTCGCGACCGCGTTCGGACAGCGATGAAGGGTGGCTCGAGGCGCTTTGTGCGGGATCGACGGACCTGTCCGATTCAGAGCGTCAACAACTTAAAACGCTATTGCGAGAATTTTCTGACGTTTTTAGTCGAGATAAATATGATTTGGGTTGCACTCACTTGCTGCGTCACCATATTGACACGGGTGACAGCGCGCCAATTCGCCAAAATCCGTTTCGGTTGAGTCCCGCCGAAAAGGAACATGTCAAATCGGCTGTTGATGACATGTTAGCCGCGGACATCATTTCTCCTTCCACCAGCCCTTGGGGAGCGCCGATCGTCCTGGTTAAAAAGCAGGACGGTTCGTTGCGGTTTTGCGTTGACTTCCGGCGTCTTAATAAAATTTCGGTTGCCGACGCATACCCGCTCCCTCGGATGGATGAATCGCTTGACGCTTTGGCGGGAGCGCGATTCTTTTCCACACTCGATTTACTTTCGGGATTCTGGCAGCTTCCTCTGGATGATGAGTCTAAGCCTAAAACTGCTTTTCGTACACCGCACGGCTTGTTTCAATTCAACAGGTTGCCGATGGGCTTGCACTCAGCGCCGGCAACTTTCCAGCGTTTGATGGAATTGGTTTTGGCTGGACTGCAATGGGAGTCGTGCCTCATTTATTTGGATGACGTTATCGTCTTTAGTAAAACTTTTGATGAGCATCTCCAGAGGTTGCGGGCAGTTTTCCTAAAGATGCGGGCTGCTAATTTGAAATTTAAGCCCCAAAAATGCCATTTGTTGCGTGATTCGGTGCGTTATTTGGGGCACATCGTGGGACGCTCGGGTATTGCTACCGATCCCGCCAAAACGCAGTGTGTCAGCTCCTGGCCGACTCCCACCACAGTGGGAGAGGTCAGGAGTTTTATTGGGTTCGCGTCGTATTATCGACGGTTTGTTGCTGATTTTGCAACAATTGCAAAACCCCTGCACGCTCTAACATCTAAAGGGGTTCGTTTCCACTGGGGTCAAGAGGAGGAGGCTGCGTTCCGCTCCCTTCGGGACGCCCTGGTGAAAGCCCCTCCCTTGATCTACCCTGATTTTTCGAAACCCTTTTTGCTCGACACCGATGCGAGCAACACGGGTATTGGGGGTGTGCTTTCCCAGGTGGTTGATGGCGTTGAACGGGTGGTCGCATACGGTAGTCGGGTGTTGTCTCCTGCGGAGCAGAGATATTGTGTTACCCGTAGAGAACTGTTGGCAATTGTTTTTTTCATCCAACAGTACCGCCCATATCTGTACGGTCGGCATTTCACCGTCCGCACAGATCATGCGGCACTACAGTATGCCCTGCGGGTTCAACAACCATCGGGACAGTTGTCTCGATGGTTGGAGGTTCTCCAGGATTTTGATTTTGAGACCACTTACCGTAAGGGCGTTCGCCATACCAACGCGGACGCTCTGTCACGCATGCCAACCGCCTCGGAATGTGCATGCCTCCTGGGGTCGGGACGTTGCAGACCTTCAGGGGACGCATCGGTCCCGATCCTGGCAGCCACCGACGATGACGAGCCACTGGCTGATAATTCTATCGAACAACAGGGAAGGGATTCCCTGTTGGGGTTGCCCGTCACTGAGTGGGGGCGCCTCCAAATGGAGGACACCTCCCTCCTCGGGTGGCGTCGTCGCGTCGGGGGTGCTGGCCGGGTGAAAGGTGATTCGGGTGCATGGGAAATGGTACAGGGTCTGCTCATGCACTGGGACGCAAAATCACAGCGACATCGGCTGGTCGTCCCTTCGGAGTTGCGAGGCAAAGTGGTGTGGGCCGCGCATGAGCGCCTGTTACATCTGGGGACTCTAAAGACCCTTGCACTAATACAGCTAGATTTTTTTTGGCCTGGTATGACAAAGGATGTGGGGGATCTTCTGAGTTCATGCCCGCGGTGTGCGCAGCGGAAACCGCCGGCGCGGGAGTCTAACCCGCCTTTACAATCAATCAAGGTGTCCAGAATAAATGAGCTGGTCGCACTGGACATCTTGGGCCCATTTCCCGCCACCCCCAGGGGCAATAAGTATTTGCTGACAGGTGTCGAGTATTTTACGCGCTGGCCCATGGCCTGGCCCCTTGCCAACCAGTCGGCAGCAGCCATCGTGGACGCCTTTGTTCAGGGATACGTCCTGGACAAAGGTGCCCCGGAACGGCTGCTGACCGACCAGGGTAAAAATTTTTCCAGCAAATTACTTAAACAAGTGTGTGGCCTCTTAGGCACAAAGAAAATTCGGACCTCCCCGTATCACCCACAGACTGACGGAATGGTCGAGCGCCTGCATCGCACCATTTCGTCAATGATGGCACAGCAGGTCTCAGATTCCCAGACTGATTGGGACCTGCATATTCAGGGGGTCTTGGCGGCATATCGGATGGCACCCCATGCAGCTACGGGGTTTTCCCCCTTTTACCTTATGTACGGTCGCGAACCCGACCCGCCTGTTCGCGCCCAGCTGCAGATCCCCGACCAGCAAGGAAAAACAAAATTGGCTGACCACGTCAAATTTAATTTGGCTAAATTAACAGAGGCGCGGGATGCTGCGAGGTTAAACTCGGACCTCCGTCAAAAGGCGAACGAGCGCCTCAGGTTGGGTCGGGCGCATGTCATACAGTGGAAACCAGGGGACAGGGCATGGTTGCACTGTCCCCAAGTACCCCTGGCTACCTCCCCAAAGCTGGCGCGGCCGTGGCGGGGGCCTGTGGAAGTGGTCGAGGTCCTGCGACCACAGTGCGTGCGCATTCGTTGGGGGAAGCGGCGATGGTTCGTGCACCCCTCTCGGTTGAAACCTTTCGTCGCGGCACACAAACCCACTTCACACATGCGTGGCCAGACGTGTGGGGGGTCGACCGACTCACTAGGTCCGTCCCCACCGCGCTCACCTAATGCCTTGCCGGCCGTGCCACCTCCAGGTGCATCGAGACTGACGGGCTCACGCCCGACCACCCCTTCTGGGGATACCAACAGTCACGAGGCATCAGAGGAGGCCCCGCTCCCGGACGGTCCGCCACCCGGGGTTTCCCCGTGTGAGGGGCCCGCCGCAAGGACACGCGCAAAAATGCGCAGACTGTTGTGAAACCGCAAGGACACGCGCAAAAATGCGCAGACTGTTGAGGAACCGCAAGATTTGTATATATGTTGTGTTCATTGTGTGTTGTGTGGGGGGGGGGTGTTCCCTGCCCATTGCATTCACGTACGTTGGGCTCACCTGCTGTTGTGTGCATTGTGGCTTCGCTACAAATTGTATATAGCTTGTTCTTACGGTATCCGTATTTATTCAGGGGGGGTGCGTCGGATTGTTCCCTTTCAGGGTTGAGGGTTTTGTTGTTGTCATTGTCGTTGTTGTTGTTGTTACTGTTGGTTCCTTCAAGTTAGCGTTAAAAACGTTTTTTAAGGCACACGCGGGGATCCAGGGGTTAAATAACCTTTATTGAAAGTTGTTGCAGCCGGGACGGCTGCGAGCTGTACAGGGGGGGGTGATGTAGGGCTGTTACAGAGGGTCTGTTTGTGTAGGGCTGTTTACATAGGGGCTAACGGAAAACAGACACAGTGGGCGGGGTCTCCGTGAGCACACGGGGTGGTGCCCGCAACGACGTCCGTACTGGACGGCGTGAGGGGGGTTTCGATCCTCTAACGGGGTATAAAAAGGGTTGAGCCAGAGAGCTCGGGGCTCAGTCTTAGAGTAGTTAAGAGAAGAGAGAAGACCAGCCAGATAGGCCCTGGACTCCCCCTGGGACGCCGCCCTTGTAAGGGCAGTGCAGGCTGGAGCCAGTGGCGTGGTCCCGGAACCAGAGTCAGACCTCTGGGATTCCGGGTACCGTAGCCCGACTAACCAGTGTCGGGCCAGACAGCCTCCCCTAGCCCGTTAGCGGAGGACTCAGCTAGGAAGGCTAGCTAGGGGTGAATTCCCAGTTGTACGGGTGAGGGGGCCGATACATCCCTCTAGAACTGTAAGCCCTTTGTGTAAATAAATACGTGTGCCTTACCCCGTTGTCCACGCGTCTTCAACAACACTTCACATACACGATAACGGCTGTTTTTTATTATCAGACCGGCACTGGCAACGTGGTATGACCGTAAAGAGTTTGTTATGGTCGACTTCAACGTGGGAGAGAGCCGCGATGTGAACGTGGAATTCCAGGATTACAAGATCACATTCAGGTACGAGCCACCACACAGAACTAACTCTGGCACCAACGTTATCACCACCATGACCATCAGAAGCCATTTTTAATCCACTGCTGAATGGATGCTAACAAGTGTTTGCCCCTTGCCACTTTCAGAGTTTACAGTTTACCTTGTTTTTTCACAATTTGTTCTAATTATGTAACTAGGCCCCATCAGGTATTACATTTTGCCTTTGGCTGTTCATGCGTCACCTTAACGGTTAACACGAAGGTATATTAACATCATTTTACATATCATTCTAGATTTAGTTGAATCGTATCACCAAATACAGTTGCATTTGCAAGTGTGCTTAGAGAACACTAATTATGAATGCTTTATAAATATAAATTGAGGATGATGATGATAAGAGGGGTGGTGTTATTTTAATTAATTTTCCACTTGAATGGGTGTATGTATGAATTAATTAAATGACTCCACTGCTATCATTTTTTTATCAGCTGCGTGGCTGGTGATGACAACATCCGCTACTACAATGAGATCGAGCTTTATGAGAAGCTCATACACTTGGTGAGACACGCATTTGCTCACGAATACGGTAACAAATGCACGTGTGCACAGGTACACACATTACTGGCTCTTGTGCAAATGCATATGCGCGTGAATACTCATGCATGTCCGAGGATATTTTTTGACGAACAGAAAACATTCCCGATCCTCTATCACCACCCCCTCTTTTCCACGCAGGACTGTCGTTTCAAGGTCTTTGATCGCCACATTCACTGCACGCTGAGGAAGGCCAAAGGGGCCATTGATTGGTTACGTCTCACCAAGGACAAAGAAAAGGTACATTTCAATACAAAACCTATATATTGGCCCTTTGAAATTACATATATAGTCGCGTTCGAGACGTAATTTTGATAGGTTTTTTTATTTGACAAGAGCCCAGTAAAATGCACGAACTGTAATAATGGAGGGGAGGGGGGGGGGTACAGAAATTCTGCAGACCAAAGTCGGAACTCGATGCTCCTGGGTTCTTAGAAGGGGGAAGGTTGGACTCAATTATGATTGTTAAGAAAATTAAATTGGCCTTGGGCAGCCGCATCGCTGGAGGCGACGGTGGTAGGGAGGGTGAGATCAACAACTGCGTGGCGGCCGAAGGAGGCAGCGTGCCCAAGAGGACCTCCACCTTGGAGATGCGAACGGTGAAATGGACTCGTGTACAAATGCTGAGTGGATTGTACTATAGCAGGCCTGTGAAGGATGTTAGCGATTTTTGTGGAGGCCTCCATCCAGCAGTGGATTGATCAAGGCTGCTGCTGATGATGATGATGGTGGCATGCTGTCTCGGTGATTACCGCCTCATCGTAGAGAAGCATTGATCTAGGGGTGGAATTAATTAGAATGAATCGCTGGTGTCCGGGAGGCTCAGAAGTCAGGCAACTCAGCTGGAACCTCTGAGAACCCTAGGATTTAACTTAGGCAGCCACCTGTGATTAACATGAGTTATCAGGTGTGGTGTACTGATAGTGTAAGCATGTTCACAAATGACCACACAGAAATAAAAATATAACCTAAAATGCAGTGTTTGACTTCATTGGCAACATTTCAACTTTCTGAACTAAAAATAATATATTGGTTTGACCATCATAAAACAAACATTTCTGTGATGCAGACACGTGGAAAAGTGAGCACCTCGTGTGTGGATGAAAACGTTCATGGACAGAGATCTCAGAAGTAGTGTTATAATTCCTTTTACGGGCCATTCTTTTACACACGGGCCGATGTACTGCTTCAGTGTGAGTTCTTAATGGTAACGTAGTCTCTTGGCATGATGACAGTCACATACTTTGAATACACTTGGGAGAAAGACAAAAGTAAAGAAAACACCTTTCGTATATGATGATGACGATTAGGGCTTAATTTCAGTTGGAGCTGTCTGGAGCTGAACTCCAGAAAATTTCCATCCCCCGGACCCCAGGGGGATGGTTGGCTTAAAACAATATTCCTTTATAATTTATATCCTGATTTTGATGATAATGAAGTATTTTAGCCACTTAGCATTATACCACTCACTATAACCACTTGCCGAACCCCAATCACCATCCATAACAGAGGGGGGGGGGGGGCGGTTGGGTAAGATCGGGGAAATATAAAACTCATAGTCAAACCCGCCACCACCCAACACAGCCAACTAGTACATTTTGTCACGTAAACAAAACATGCCAATTAGTTATTAGTTCAACACATTGGTGTGTTGGAGAGTAAATCCACACCATTTCCAATTTAAGTACGACGTTTCGCCGGTAATTACAACTTACAACCAGCCACATCAGGCGACAGCCATAATTGTGGATAAATCCTCCTGTTTCGGTCTTAAATAGAGACCCGATCAACTCCAATCACCATATATTCTATCTCGCTTCTGCTTCGACATCATTTGTGTGGATCTTTGAATTTAGCCCACCTGGCTGAGCACCGACTTCGACAACTGGCGGGACTGGCGGGAAGAGAATGACGAGGGGATGGCGCGCTACGTCGACTTCCAGAAGGTGAAGGAGCAGGCCGGAGAGCATGGAGATCAGAATCAGAATCTTTATTTATCCTGGAGGGAAACCGATGAGCTAAGAGGCTCTTTTTCACAGATGTCCAGTAAAGATAAGCCAGGGTTTACTGGGGACCGTAGGGGAAGACGGAGGTTTCGTCTCTACATAATGGAGACCATCTAAAAATATACAATTGAATCTAGATTATCTGTGGGTGATTATCCAGCTTGCTGAATAACCGTCTTTGTGATTTGTATATATATACGTTTTACGTGCACTCTGGTTTCATTGTTTGCTGCTTTTCACTCTACTCAGATGAGTGCCCTTGTGTCGATTGCTTTAAGAAACAAATAAAACAGATGACACATGATAATTTTCACCCCCATTCTATGTTGGTATACAACGAATGTCTTTGTAACCCTAATTTGCATTTTTTTTCGCACTATCTCTGTTTTTGCTTTATTCGGGCTGCCCCTCCCCATCCAATGACGGTGGGTAATCAAGAGTTAACTGTAGAATCATATAATCTTCATTACGGTGGGGCACACTATTAAACATTTTTAGTAAAGTGTCAGCTATGTTTGTAAGTTCAACATCACAATGTAGGAAATGGAGCATCGTTCTCTGTATCTGCTATAACAACTCAAACATGAAATAGATTTTCAGTTCATATTAAATCTACCAACATTTTCTGAGCAGCCCCTCCCACCATCAGCCCTGCCCACTCTTAAATAGCCACCCCCACTGAACCACGAGCTCTGCCCAGACAGAGTGTCCTCACTCTCTGATGTCAGCTCAGCCTACTGGTCATAGGCACCACCTCTGCAATCCCACCCACTGCTCAGGTAGCTCCACCCTTTCACGGGTTGAGTGCAAGGCTCAAACATTGAAACTCGGAAAAATTCACACATCTTTCAAATACTTTGGAAAAACGAGACAACCTTTCTGAAAACAGAAGGACTGTCCAGGCCAAACCAGGACATGTAGCTTTAGTTTTCGTGGCCTCTCAAAGCGCACACACGATAGTTGATCATTACATGCTAGTCTTAGCTAGAATTATTTTCCCGATTGTCTTTAATGTTGCTTGGGATAATATGCTCTTGAACAAATGTTTCCAACAGCATTTGTTAAACGAGGTGCATTCTGGACCAGTTTTGACATTCCGTTTCATTAGCGGTCAGTCTTTAAAAAAGCCTCCTGAGTTGCCTAGAGAGCGGTACCGTATTGGCGATGATTCACGCTACTCTGTACAATTAGTTTGTGATGTTATTTGTGACTCTTCTCTGTTTTTGTACTGACAGACGCTCAAAGAAATAACGGACAAAAACAAGGTAGTTCCGACGATGGATGATTTGGACGTGAGTAACCGTATTCTATTGTGGAATTTGTGAAGTGCCATCATTCTTTTATCCAGCCAGGCCAACCTGCAACTCAGGAAAAATTCCAGTTTGACTCATTTTAATTCCTCTGACGTACCATGTAACCTTTGATTGGACAACTGTTAACACTCACCAGTTTGCATTGAGGTTGAACTGCATTCTGGCAAATTGAATGATAATGTTTCTGATTTAACTTGCATCTGTGATCTTAGAAATCATGTATAATGTATTATTTCAATGTCAGGATACTGTGCATAGAATAATGAAGTTTAATACAATTATTCTTGGTTCTTTCGGTAAAGTCACGTAAAAGGGAAATAATAAAATACTAAAAATATTAAACAATACAAATTATCACGACGTTTCGCTGATGATGATTGCTTGTGTTGCAGTCGAAACGTCGTGATAATTGTTCTTGTTTTATATTTTTATTATTTTATTATTTCCATTCTACGTGACTTTACCGAAAGAACCAAGAATATGAATCCCTGCAGTCACGAAAGCTTTAAATCTAAATTTAATACAATTATTAATATTTTTCAGGATGATGATGAAGATGTATTATCGACACAGGCTTCAGATGAGTTCCCTGGTATGTTTTTTAGTGCATGGTGTGAATTACTTTTCACGAATTACACAGAATATGCCTGGTCTTGTCAGATCTCAGAAGATAACAGACCTGGGCCTGGACAGTGCTTTGGTCGGTGACAACCATAAATAAAAATCGTATCATGTGGGGCAGCAGGGCTACATGGTGGGCAGCAGAGGGAAGTTCACCAAAATCCACTGTTGTACCATATTTTCTATGTTCCCCCATGGACCTGCACACTGGGAGGTTGTCCTCGTCAGCAGTGGCTTGACAAAAATAACTGCATGTGAAAACATTTCTAACCACTGCACCACTGATCTCCGCCCAGGGAATTGACAGCTATTTAAAAATGTAAGCTTCACAATGGATGTACCCCACTTAGAGCAAAGTCTAGTGTCCATCACACCCTTGAAAATTATGTGTAAACACAGATTCAAAGCTTACATTATGTAACAACATAGTACCATATACTGTCGTGTACGAGTGCTGTACATTATATGTAGGCATCTCTCCAGTCAGCAGCAGGGTACTGCCGTGGTTGTTTGTGGATAGCGATCTGGACTTGCAATTCAAATGTCACCGGCTCTCGTTCTTCTGGCGCGGCAGTTGAAACAATGGCGCAAGTTTATGCATTCCTTTTGTCCCTGTTCACCTAGCAGTTCAAGTTCATTTATTAGGTATAGCCCTGTGAGCCATTCGGCTCTTGAATCGGGTGCAACCGCAACAAACAAAAAACAAAAACATGAACAAGAAAGCATCTTAAAGTGAATATGTGACTAAGTGCAAACACAAAATCCAAGAAAAGATGGCAAAATATTGCAGAAAAGACACCGTTACACCAACGCTGTGTACAAACATCCCAGTGGGATGCAAGTCAAACAACAACAACAACAACCACAAGACAACTTAGATTAAGGCCATCAGTCTTACTCCGTATTACAACAAACAAACATGGCTAAACCAATACACTTTTCGAAATCACCAAAATAAAGCCATGAAAGCAATGAAACAGTGATCATAGGAACTGTGACCGAATTTTCACAATAAATGGGGACACCACAATCAGTTGATCGGCAGGTCGCATGCGATGGGGTGATAAAGTATGCATGCCCCTACCACTTCCAATGTGTCTGGCCAGTGTGGAAGAGCAGACCAATTACCCAACTGGAGGAGCTCCCTGGAGTTCCCTTCTACCAGGCGTGGCGCAAGCAAGCAATTGCAGGGCTGCACCTTTGCCTTTTCTTTTTTACAAACCCGCAGTATAACCCAGGGCACATTCCTGTAATTCTATTGGCAGATTTCCTCTGGTGGTGTAAGATGTGGACACGCCTGTCTCTTAACACCAACTCCAGTCGGGGTGTAAGAACTGGTCAGATTCCCCTGGAAAACAGGTGGTTGAGTAGTGCTTCATCTTCAGTGGCAAAATGCATTAGAGTTTGTGCTAACAATAATTCGATGTCACAGAGTGTACATTGGCGAGAGATGGCAATGACCTCTTGGTAACAGGGCCCATATTGAGAGCATTTAAATTGCCTGGCTGCTGTGACATTGCACCCTACTCCACATAGCTCTATGACCAGCCCGTTTAAAGAATAATTGTTGTTGTGTGGTTTATACTGTTGTGTATTGCTACACTATAAAGCTATCGCCAAAGCTATCACCTGATCACATCAGACCTCGGCAGCTATGCAGGGTTGAGCCTGGATGGTGCTAGGATAGGTGATAACCGGGGCTATGTCGTAGACTGTTCAGGAACATCCATTGTTGTACGGTCCTTCTATGCGTACACGTCTATACTCCCCACATTAATCAACCCGCATCAACCTGCACTGACTACCATGGTGAAGTATGAGCAAATATTTCCCACGATCTGCACGGCGCGGAGATGCTTGAATCCAGCAGTCAAACGACAATATACTACAAATTGCACATGCAAAGCATCCCACGTCACGCAGGAATTATGAAGGTATGAAAGTCTGATATTTTTCGAAGAAATCCACATGACCTCATTAACCACACCCTTTCCTGGCCTTAGCCAGAAGGCTGGCTACTACTTTGGCTAACTCATATTCCATTGTGTTGACACAGACGCTTGTGATCTCACCATTCACGTGTAGACCCACCTCGTGACTCCCTCCCCCTTCCCTTGCCTGCTGTGTGCGGGGCCCCCACTGACATGAGCTTGCCGGATTGAGCAAGAATGTGCGTCAGTGAGTTGTTAAGTGTAACTCCTTAGGCTCTGGTGCGCCATTTCGACAAAATACAGTGCACGACAACCGCATTCCGGTAAAAATAGACTGCCGCCGACCTGGGGTCTTGTCTACGCACGCCTTTCAAAGAGTTGCTGGTTCAGTTGTTGCGTTTATAACGGTTGGGTCCACGCCCTGAAATATTTGCCAGCTTACTCGCATTACAATTCGAGCCGAAGGGCAATGGAACTTGAAAGTGATTTTATCATGGGTGGCCTGTGTGGACCGAGAGGGCTCAGACCACGTGGCTCAACTGCTGCCGTGAAGATCCTGGGTTTCAGTCCAGTGTTTTGCCACCCGTTATTAAAACGGGTTCTCAAGCGTAGCGAGATGCACACGTGTTTTTTCTTCATATAAAATGTTGGTGGTTTTTCACATCTGTCATTTATCAGCTGACGAAAATATTTGTAGCTTGATCACTATGTGGTGGACATGCGAGTAAGCGTTGATAAGAGGCAATTTAAGAAAACTTTTTTAACTAACACATAGTTTCCCTACCTCCTTTAGGCCACATTTTCATGTTTATCAAAATTAGTTTTTCAAATACAGACGAAGTGTTTGTACAATGCACATATCTGATAATTGGTAAAACTGGAAAATCTGGACCTCTGGTGACGCCGTGAGGACTGCCCGAACGTGACCCCATTTTCCCTGTAACCACAACACAGTGTTTAATGGTATGTCGTTTAAGTGTGTCGTTTAATCGTGTCATATGTTCTCAGTAACAATTACATTGTTTTTTTTTCCAAATGAGCTAATGGCTAGTACGGTAGAGCGACAAGGTGTCTAAATAGCATTCCAAGCATGGAAATAATTGTGACCCTTTCAAGGTGAAAACAAAGAGCACACTATTGAGTGTTTTTTTGTTATTTTAACTGGGTTTTAACATTGTCTGTATTCTGCTCTGTTCATTACAGATCTTCCAAAGTTGGAGTGAGACTGGGATGAAAAGAAATTTGAAATCGAGGGGAGTTAGAAGTTGGTTGTGGGGATTAGGCTAGAGGAAGTGGAATGAGAACAATGGATTTTGTCCACGATTCTAGCTGTGTGCTGAAGGCTGCACAGCGTTGTGTGAAGTCAAAATATATCTCAGTGACAACTGGAAAGTATATATTTCTGTGTTTTAGGTCCTGCTACAAATAACGGTTGAATATGTTAACATCCAATATGTAAATAGAGTACGTTAATAAATTTATACTTAAAAATGCATACCAGAAGTGTGTTTTTTTATGTACTACAATAAGTGTTGTGGTATGAATACGTGTTTTTAAATACTATTAGATATGTGTACACCGCATATGCAAACGTGAAGGGAGTACTTTCCTTCTCTTGTGTGGAGCAATATTTTTATTACTGGCCATAATTTAAAGTCCCGCTGTTATTAAATATTAAATTCACCTTCAGTTTACATGAATCATCATATACATTCTTCATTTCCTCTCACTGCCCATTTTATTTGCATATGTCTGCTTGCGGGAATACCATTGATTACACACGTCATAATGAGCATACCTATACAGAATAACCCTGTAGCAGTGACGTGCGGTGAGGTCAATGGCTGGGGAAGCACTGGCTCATGTCAGAGCCAGATTCACACACTGAGAGGGGCGTGTCCTCACTGAGGGGGGCGTGTTAGACACGTCCCCCTCAGTGAGGCAGATGTGATAGCTGCTTCCCCTGGCGCGTTTTCATTCGCAGTTTCATGACGAGACCAGCGAGCCTAAATAGCTTTATACACATACGTGAAATAAGTTACCTGGAGTATGGAAGGCGAGGACATGAAATGAAGGGGTCTACAAACATTACATTGGTGACTTACTGAGATAGTAACAGGCACGCGCTTATTGCCCGCACTCCATCCAGTTACTGAGGGGTTGCGCAATAAGAGGGGAGGCTGAGCTCGTCGCTGCCTCACCTCTCGTCTCTTCCTGTATTTGCAGCGGTACTCCGTAAATTTGGCGATTTTAACTATAAAAATGATTGGAATCGTACAGAAATGACATTTATAACAGATCAGTGGAAAAATCTTAATAATTATTTTATTAGATTATTCTTTTTTTTTTACTTTTCGTAACAGCTATTTTCATTGGAGTATGACAGGTGAGGCTCTGCCTCCCGTGACCGCACATCCCTGTCCTGTAGTAACTGTACCGCATATGGTGATATCCTTATGTATATATATATGGAGAACTTTCTCACCGTAATGATTATTTAGTACATTTGGTATTTGTGCTATTCTAATTGGGCAGGGCTATCACAAATGAGCTGTGTTTCAAAGACAGATATAACCTGCATGTAGAGAGTGATATTGCTATGTGCAATTCAAATTGAGTAATTTTCAGGTATAACCAGGACAGCCTGATGGATTGTAACCGCTTAATACACTCGCAGTAATAACCAGGACAGCCTGACGGATTCGAAATGAGAACCTCTGCAACAAGCACGACAACTCGGCCATGTCACCGTTTTCATATGCCAGTCCCTCCAGAAAAACGCGGAGTTTTTTGGTGATTGTTGCGGGCAAAAATCGTTGATTATGCGGCACGTTTTCTTAAAAAATGCGATGGAATATGCGGGATATTTATGCAATTTTATGCGATTAAATTGCGGGAACTTGCAAAAATTGCGGGAACTTGCAAAAACTGCGGTTTGATGAAAAAGAGGCTACTACTTTAATGTAAAGAGTCATTTCTTATTACTTCCTATGATAAGCAAGCATACTACATCACAGAAAGTGCTGGGAATATTTAAGTTCTCATCTTGTTTTATTTCAGACCTTAACAAACAGATGGCTCAAACTTACAAAACATTGAGTCGAACAAGTTCTGTAGCTTTACAAAATGAATATGCTACAACTTCTGTAAAAATGAATAAATAAAATATTAAAAAATAAAATGTGTGCTTCCTGTTTTACAGAGGTAGCTATACAAAACAGACATCTTCTGTTAAAATAAGTGTTTTCAGTGCACAGTAACGTAAGCAATACAGTAACAGTACAGTCTTACAGTAATGTAAATTTACATACTACTAACAAAAAAGTGCAATCTTACAACTGTAAAGTTGCATAAACTCCTGAATAAAACTAACTACGTAGCCTCTAACACTTCATAACGTTCCCATGGCAACAGGGGAAATGGCTGCGCTTGTGTGAAGTAAACGCAACATTTTTCAACTTTCTGCTAAGATATATGTGACTTTTTGCAACGAAAATGCGGGGATTATGAAATCATGCAAGCCCGCATATTTTGCGCGCGGAAATCTGCAATTTATGCGGCGAAAGTGCGGCGTATTTGAAAAAACGCGCCCCCCGCATAAATATGCGGACTTTGGCTGATTTTGCGTGGAAACTTGCGTACGCATAATCGCGTTTTTCTGGAGGGACTGATATACCAATGCATTTCTACATCCGTTTATTTCCTTTATCTATACTGTATAGCCATGCAGCCACACAGTGTAATCAGATATTGTGTATAGCACTGTTTAAAAATATCGTATTATATACACACAAACATGTACATATACAATTGTGGTGTTGTAGGTATCTTCTTCTGCTCGAGGCGTGTGTGTGTGTGGGTGGCGTGCGTCGCACACACACTCAGTCGGAGACGAGGTGGTCGCAGGAGGCACCATCCTCCCCGTTTATTGTTGTTGTTCACGCCACCAACTCTGGTCCTCCCTCTCTCTCTCACGACCACGCTGCCGCACGAACCGGCCCAGACACGACCCTGCACGCGTTGCACCGACGGCGTCGACCGAGACAGCCAACTACTGTCCGGGCGAAGGCGGTAAGCGACAAAGGTGGCGAAGGCGACAGCGACAACAAGACGAGTCCACTCCCAGAACCGGCAGCCCGGAGCTCCCCGCTCTCCGCTGCTTTTATTCCTCTCGGCGCGGCTTGGCTCCACCCTAGCCGCGCCTCCCTTCTCGAACCCACCAGAGGGTTCCAGGGGCTTCCACACGAGGTCTACCGTGACCCTTGCCCCAGTTCCTCCGTCCTGCCGGCACACATACCGTGTATATGCTCAACGGCATGTGCGCTAAGTGCCCAGTTGCAGCTGCTGTACAACAGTCAGCGCTATGTCACTACACAATTATATTTCGATTTAAAGCTTTCGTGACTGCAGGGATTCATCTTCTTGGTTCTTTCGGTAAAGTCACGTAGAAGGGAAGTAATAAAATAATAAAAATAAAATTAAAAATAAAACATACGTGACTTTACCGAAAGAACCAAGAAGATACACAATTATACTCACAGTTTATGTACATGTATAAAACTGACACTAGTGGGTTCATCACTTGCATGGATCTTTTCAGGGCCATAAAAAACATTTTGTAATAGACAAAGATCAGAACTGTGCACAGGCTGAGAGCCAGTTTTCAACGCGCTGGTGAAACTCAAGTATCTCAGGGATGTCACTGAGTGGGTTAAGGGCTGTATCTAAGCAGCCTGGTAAACGGCAAGCACCAATTTAGTTTGATGAAACATCTGACAGGTTGATTCATCAGGAATTAATTAATTTTGATGGACAAGAACAATAAATGTGGGTGCCCATCGAGCGTTAGGACCGAGTCATTTTATTTTTGCCTTTAGTCTTGGACATGCTAGCAGCAGAAATGCAAAGGTAGGCCCCATGGTCTTTACGATTAGCAGGCAATGTGGTTCGATGCGAGACAGCACGAGTCATGTGCACAACGAACTGGGAAGAGTGGACTGATAACCTGAAGGGAAATGGCTCGAAAGTAAATGGAATGTGGACAAAATACACGGTGACAAGGTTCCGTCTCGCGGAACGTGAAGTGTTTACATGTGATTGTAATCAGCTGCAGAATGCAAATATGTTTGAACTAGGATCAGTTATACAGGCAGATGGTGAAATGGATAAGGCGATCAGGAGAAAAACAAAAGCATGGATGAAGTCAAGAGGAGTCCGTGGCGCGTGACAGGTGCCAATCTGGCTTAAGGGGGCGACATCTCCAAAGCGGAGATAAAAATCGGTTAAAAACTGCAGAGAATCGTGATTGTGTATGAGGAATATGGAAGAGCAAACATTTAACTTTGCGGACAAGATAATGCTGAGGATGGATGGCGGATGCATGAAGATGAAGATGAAGGTGTGAAAGTGGCACCATTGCAGATGTATTTATGGCGAGGAGGCACACAATGGAAAGCGAGTACAGAGCATGGTGTTCATAATCAACGTCACCCTGCTGCTGCTCTATATAAGAACGGGAGACACAGCAGAGCCTCACCATTCTGGCGAATTGCCCGATGATGGTGGATGCAATTACCAGCGAAACGTCGTACTCAAATTGTAAATTGTTGTGGTTTCAACACACCGGTGGGCTAAAGCAGTGAACTATTTGTCTTTTGTCAACGTGACACTTTTTTACTGATTGGCCGTGTCGGGTGGTGGAGGGTTACGACACATTTATAAATAACGCGATCTAAACCCAAAAACGTTGATTATGAATAACATTGGTCGCGAAAGCCTACGTGTTAAACTAACAGAGCATGGTGTTAAAACAGAGGAGAGCAAGAGAAACTCCAGGAGGAAGGTGACGTTGCTCGTGCAAACAGTGCTAGGGTGTGCTGTATTCACCGATTGTGTGCCACGAGTATGGCCTTCTTGTGGTGCATGAGGCGAGGTGTAGCCTGCATATTTGTTAAATGGAACTTATTTGTTATTTGTGTTCGCGTTGTAGCTCGATTTGTATTGTGCTCTGCGTACGCACTCTTGCGTAATTATGACGATCGTGACATTTGGGCTTTCGCAACCAATGTTATGATTCGTAATTATTCACGTGCAAAAAGGTATTAATTGGTGGAAGACGGTGTGTGACACACATGTTAATTACACATAAAAAAAAATAAAGATTATGGTTCATGTGGAACATGTGTGTGTGATGTGTACGCTGCCCAAATGAAGAGATAGATTTTTGTTGTTGGAGGGACAAAACTGGAAACCCATCAGAGTATGTTTTCCTAGGGCTATACCATGATCCAAATCATCAAATAAATGCATCTAAACTATTCAACTTTTTATTTTATTTTACCAGGTAAAGCCAATTCAGCTACATAACTCTTTATCAGAAGCGACCTGGCCACAAATAATAGCTCAACGAAGTGGCTTATCACATGAAAATTTGTATTAGCCAAATACTCTAAACGCGTGATGTTGATTCTAAATGTGAAGGGAAAACCGGCGG